CTGTTGTCTCAAGCTGCATTATGTTCAACCAGATCTCCTTATTTTATTTCTAGCTTTTGAAACAAATTACTTTCAATTCTTGTCAATACATTAATAAAGACCTTTTATATTAAAAATAAGAAATCAGATTAAAATGTTTAGATAAACATTTAATTCATCATAATTTTATGATATAAAGATAAAGAAAGGATGCAAAATCCTATTGACAATGAAAAAAAGGATTTAAATTCTTGTTCAGTAATAGATACATGTATCCAATTTCGACACTAAAAAATATGTATTGTTTATATTTTTGAATAGAGAATAAAGAATTCTCAACTGTCATCTTGTCTTTACTAATCAGAAGATCAAAGACTTCTAATCAATGAGATGCAGACTTTGTTTTGATTTCAATTATGTCATATTAAGTGTGAGATTTACATGATATTGCCCTAGGTTATAAATTTTAATCCACTGGCAGTTTAATAACTTGTAATTAAGGAGATTATCAAAACAAAATGATATATTCATGTACTGGTATGTAATTATAAATTTTAAATTTCCATCTTTGAAATTAGGTGAACTAATTATTCTACTTTTTTATATCTTTTTTCAGAGGAAACTTTTAACATTGTAATGAATTATATTCAAATATACCTTTTAATAATGAGTAAAAACAAACTTATGTTAGTAGGACAGCAAAAATTTGCATAACATAGATCGAATGACCTAAAATATAATGGTCCATGTCATTGCAAGAACTTTATCACCACTCACTCACGCTGAAAACCAAAATTTCAAGAATTCTTAAATATTTCGGATCCTAGGTAAGAGCTTCCATCAAAAAAACAACTGTCGACATAACATTAGGAAACTATGCTTTACATGCTGTTTTTGTAAAGTTCTAAATTTCCATTATAAATACATTGAGCAACATAATTGTGTTTAACTTTCTTTATAATTTTGTAGCATGTAGTTGACAGTAATCGAAAAGTAATATAATTACTTTAGATAGCAATCGATTACATACAAAAATAAACACTCAAAAATACATGTAATGCAAAGATCGACTGTAGAAGGTTTCGTAGAAAAAAAAAGAATTTTGTCAAAAAAATTTCTTTTTTTCTTATGTCTGTAAGCCAAATTGTTTGAAGATTATGTAAATTTCAAACGGTCACATTCAATAAAAGTTTGTTATTTTCAAGGTTAATAAACAATAATTGTTTCAGCAATTTTTTGCAGGAATTAAACGATTAATTTTTTTTCTGGCAAAGTTTGAAAAATAAATATGTTATCTGAGCTGGCCAGAATTTTTCTTAACATTAGGTTACAAAAATCACCATGACAATTCAAATTTACTTTAAAATATGGTTCTTCCACGCATTTTAACAGTCAATGGTATTCCTAATGAGAACATGTGCAAAAACACACAATAATATATGCCTACTGTGTTTATGAATATTGTTTTATAGAGCACACAAAACTAGTCATATTCAATATACTATAAACATAAAATGCATCGGTGAATTTCAACTAGACTTCGGCAGATGATCCATGGACTCCTATCCTTTCAATGGTGTAAATATAAGATAAATTGAACGAGATATTACCAAGGACTACCCCCTTAATGCACTGAAAATTGCATTGGAATTCAGCTTGTAGGACGTTACAATGTGTACATGGTTTTAAATATCGAGGAATTTTCCTGTATCTACTAGTTTCTATTGCTAAATAGTGACAGGTCGTTCGAAATATGTTGGTAAGTAAGTATGGATCAAGGAGATAGCTTTCCTTTACTTTGCATAACAGTTGGAGAATACTCTTCTCTTGTGAATTGGACATTCGATCGTTATATATTAAGCTTTCCGAAATTTTCGTGTATTTCAGTCTAATATCTTTCTTTTTGTAATTTGTCCACATTTATTCAATGTCTATATTATCCTGACATCTTACATGATAAACATAGGAATACCATGAATATATGTCTGATTCATGTAAAGTTTTTGTCCAATTAAGTGTATCTTTTTGCAGCAAGTAAGTTTTTTCTATAAGAACATATCATGAAAAAGAAGTGCAAAGCAGTTTATAGAATAAATTATCAGTTCTGCAACTATTATATTACAGGAACGCTTTAAAATCTAGGGCAAGTTTGTTATACTTATTTATTACTTTATAGTTGGAGGCAGTCTTCTGTCAATGAAATTAAGAGCGTCTACTTTTAGTAAAAGTTTTGAAAAGTTTGTGATATCGAAAACTCTGGTGTAATAATTTTTCAGTAATACGGAGATTTCTTTCGTTAAAATCAAATACTCTATTACATACACGAGCGATTCGAACAAGGTGAGATGTATAAACACCATAAGATGGTGCCAAGGGAACGTCACCATCTAAAAACGGATAATTAACAATAGGTAATGAAAAATCATCTCTTTTATCGTCAATTTTAGCATCAAGCTTCCCGTTAGAGATATAGATTCCAAGATCCAGGAAAGGGCAGTATTCATTGTTAGTATAAGCTTTATTCAAAGTAAGTTCAACAGGATAAATCTCTTGAGTGTTCATACTGAAGTCATCATTATTGAGAGCCAAAATATCATCCAAATATATAAAAGTGTTATTAAATTTGTATCAGTTGTTGTTTAAATGGGTTTTTGCTGATTTTAGATATAAATTGTGATTTGTAACAATACAGAAACTGGTCCGCAACAGTTCCCATTGGAATTCCGATAACTTGGCAATATACGGAATCTACATAGCTAACAGAAATGTCATCTTGTATAAATTCAATTACAGTTATCATATCAAAGCAGGCCCAATTGACATAGATCTTTCAAAAGTAGGGTTTGTTGCTTTCTATTATTATTTTTTTTTACAGTTAACTGTCAGCTTCCATTTATAACAATATTAGGATAAATAGTTTAAACTTGGCTGTAGACCATCTTTATTTTTCAGACATTTATTAATATATCCCCAGCAAACAAAAGACTTCCAAATTAATTTGTAGATTTTCATTTCAAGAAAAGATAATTTTGGATCTAGCACTTTAAATATCCAGCAATACTTCATTTATGACCGGCAAACCAAACTTGGCAGTAGAAAAAGATCACTATAAGAGCTTATCCGTGTCCCTTTTTTCGTTAGTCATCTCATATTGAGATAATGCTTTGAATTCAAATTTTCTAAAGATGTAGATTAAAATATATTGATGTCGATGAAGATCATCCTAATTCATGGTAAAATATATTGATGTCGATGAATAATGCTGCTTACGACATGCATTTCTGCGACATTTGACCATTGAAACGAGATATGTATTATCAAATATTAAGTGAAAGCAAAAGCAAAAGTCCACTACTTGGACCTAGTCAGGTACTTTTGGTAATAGCGATAAAGTGTATACCAGACCTAATGTATGCACATGGTGCATTACTCTTGAAAAAATCTGAAAATAAAAGTTAACCCTAGCAAGTTTTCCTTTCCAAAAAGTTATGGAGTGCTTCGCAGTATCATAAATTTCCGTCAGTTTTTGTTTATGGAATTTTTAATGACCGTAAAACGTAAGGTGATTTGTAAGTAAAATACAGATTAAAAACACAATCAAACTTCTTCTTTAGATCTAACTGAATTTGACAAACCATTATGCATGAATTGGCCATTTCAAGTAAAATACGTGTTATGTTTATGACTTCATATGGGCATCATACGTAAAATTTCCAGGTTAAAGCAACTGGTTCATTTCTGAATAAAGATTACATAATTTTGAAAACCCTGAATAAGTTTACTATTTTTGCAATTTAAAATAATGACTCCTATCATACCTTCTGCTTTTGATGGGGTTTTGCTTCAGACGCCAGTGGCCACATGTATGGACCAACACAATTTTTTTATATAATGTATATCTCACCATTTTAATTCTTATAATACATTTTTTTATCAAAGGGTGCGGCTAATGCTGTTCAGGTGGTAATAGACCTTAATAATGGATTAAAACAGGAAATATGGTTATCATTTGGTTAACTATCATACTTTTGAAGCTATCAACATTGTCAAAAAAAAAACGTGAACAGAAAAAAGTTTTTTAATATAAATTTTCAAAAAACGGTTATTATGCATACAGTCTGATGCGGTGTTGTATATGTATTATTGTTTATAACATGGAATTAAAAACAAGGTCATATAAACCCTGCTAGAATAAATACACACCTTACCATCATTTCAATACACCATATAAAGTTGACGAATTAAGACATGTTATATAAATGTTTACCGTTGACAATTGATTTACGAGAGTCGAGTTTTGAGACATTCAAATATGAGATCATCTCAAAAGTTTGAATTGAATTTTATTTAAATCCGTGCCCAAATAGCTTTTCTAGCATTGCTACAAATAAATATGAAACAATTGTCTTTCCACCTTTTCTAAGATGATTTTTGAGAGGTTGGTTGGTTTTAGGTATCATAAAATGTTTGTCACAGGTTCTTCTTATCGATTGGTCGTTTGGTTAGTTTGAAGGTTTAATTGTAGGTAGCCAGTTGATAGATTGAACTCTTTCATTTGTCAAGTTTGACGTATTTCACATTCATTAACTGATTGATTGGCATGGTTGGTAGGCCTAGTTGATTGATTGACAGTTTGCTTAACATAGGGGCGCATAAATTATATTGATTAATTAATTGATTGATATTTTGTGTGATGTCCAGTGGAAAATTCTGTAGATACAGTCTCTACCCTTGATTGGACATACTGTCAGTGAATTTTACCACCAAATGATGATTGTTGGAATCATTGAATTTATGAAATTAATTTATGACAACATTATTATTGAAATTTTGTTTGTTTATAAAAATTGGTTCAGATTTAATCAAATATTACATGAACAAGTTTTAATCGAGACTTATAGTATATCTCTATTCGTTTGGTGATGAAAATATTATAACCATATAATTAAATACATGTATATGCATTAGCAGAAATAAACACTCATTCGTTGCTTTCTATGTACTATAATGATAATAATTACCAAGTGTAACGATCTCCCACAATAGAACACCATATGACCAGACATCAGTTTTCTTTGTAAACATTTGGTCATTTAATGATTCAGGCGCCATCCATCTAATTGGTAGTGGTCCCTGTAACACAAACATGACGTAAGAAGAGTACACATGCTGTTTAAGGACATCAATTTAAAACCGTAGTGAGATTTTTTAATATTGATTTTATCGGTACTAACATTGATTTTGTTTTTTGATAGATTAAAGCATAACTAAATATTTATTAATTTACACTTATGAAAACTTATGGTCCTACATCATGGTCGATATAGTGTACCTTATTTTTGGATTTTCACAAGACCATGCTATTCTCAGACTGTTTATACACCAACACGGTTGAATGTGTAATGATTGATCCTATAGTCTGGGAGAACATGATTTATTTATCAGTTGTTATCGGCTTTGAACTAGCTTTTAGTAGCTCAAGTACTCTTAGATCGATACTTTGTGTTTTTGTCTTTATAATGGTTGTTTGTTGTACTTTGTGTCAATCTGATGAGTGAAGCCATTTCCAACTGAATTTTACAGTTTGTTCTTATGTTGTGCTGTTACACCACTGTCCCAGGTTAGCAGAGGGTTGAGCGCTCACAAAGATGTCTAACTCCGCCACATTCTATATGTGCCTATTCGTTTATTATTTGTCATACATCAGACCGTTGATTTTTTCGTTTGAATTGTAACACATTTTGTCATATCGTGGGTTTTTAATGCGGTATGGAATTTGCTCATTGATGAAGTGATCGGTGATCTATAATAGTTGTTTAAATCCACGTCATTTGGACTCTGGAAAAAAGTTATCTCATTGGCAATCAAACCAAATCTCCTAATTTTGTATTGGACTTATTCTTTCAATCTGTCTTTGAGTTTAGAATCAGGAATACTAGTGTACAGAGTAGAGAAGTCAAATGTTTTTATTATACAAAATGTGAGAGACTTAGATTGTACATACTCTAACAGATCTTTGATTTTTTTAGTCTCCACATCTGGTAGTTTCAAAGTAAATATGATGCCCGGCTTAATAATCTCTGTTTACATGTTCACAAATACGATATAACGTTGATAAAAAACTAGAGGCTCTAAAGAGCCTGTGTCAATCACCGAAGTCTATGTGCATATTCAACAAAGGACATTCTCCAAGATTGTAGACAAGAATAGAATTCATGACAAAAATCTTTTTTTTTTGGCTGATCTTGTATTGCTGATCATTTTGTCTGTTTAATTTCTCTCTATCTTCTTTAGTTTTTTACTCAAAACACAAAAGAGGGTAAACAAATCCTCATTTAAGGGCAATCACTTCTATGAAGAGTGACAATCTACTAATGATATCGACAAACTTTGACTTGTTTGTAGATCTTGCCTTGCTGATGATTTTTGTTTTCTAAAATTTCTATTTATCATAATTTTTATCATATAAGGCAAAACGCAAAAAAAAAATTGGTAAAAATAAAAATCATCATTAAAGGGCAATAACTCCAATAAGGGGTCGTCAAACAATTTCCTCCATTAGTCTAAATTGTAGATCTGGTCTTGCTGATCATTTTTGCTCATTTAAGTATCTATCTATCTATTCTAATTTGTAAGATATAAGGCAAAAACGCAACAAATTGGTAAAGTTCGTCATCAAAGGGCAATAACTTTAATAAGGAGTCGTATGATGATTTCGATGATGCATACTTATTTGTTGATCTTGTCTTGCTGACCATTTTTGCAACTAAAAGTTTCTCTCTATCTATTATAATTTTCAAGATAATAGGCAAAATTGAAAAAAAAGTTGGTAAAATTTGTCATTTAAGGGCAATAACTCCAATAAAAAGTAGCCTGACAGTTTTAACGCGAATAGAGAATTGGTAGAGCCCAACATTCTGAACATTTCTGCCCCGTCATATTTTCTCTATTTATAACGGTTTTCAATATAATAGACAAAACTTGCATTTTACCCCTATGTTCTATTTTAAGCCATGTCGGCCATCTTGGTTGGCTGGCAGGGTCATCGGACACATTTTTAAAACTAGATACCCCATTGATGATTGTTTTGGTCAAGTTTGATTAAATTTGCTCTAGTAGTTTCAGAGGAGAATATTTTTGTAAAAGTTAACGGACGACGACGACAGACGACGGACGCCAAGTGGTGAGAAAAGCTGACTGGCCCTTTGGGCCAGGTGAGTTAAAAAGTCGAAGTGTTAGAAGGATTTTGATGATATAGCTCTTCAACTGTTTCGGTTTTATACATCCTTGGCTCTCAAATATTCGGCTTTGAGCGTTCTTGATGAAGGTAAATCCAGAAAAGCGCTTCGGACGCATTGAATTTATAACGTGTTGTTTTCATTTTGTTGAAACTATCTTACTTTGAAAACCCAAAGTTGAATGATTTCTGATTGTTGCCCTGGTGTGAAATAAACTCAAAGAGGTAATTTGGTCCTTGAGATGTGGTAAGTACTTTCAGGGATTTGGTTGAGCAGTACTTGAATTATCCTTGTATATTCTCTGTGCTGGCAACATAGACCGAAGCATGAATTGAAGGGTCAACCCATGGAAGTGTCATTTTGTTTTAAAATAATGTTCCCACTTTAAAGGGGCATTAGCTGTCAAATTCATGTTCATCGATTTGACTCAAATTCTCATATTTGATTTATAACATACTAAAACGTATATTCAAATGATAAAAAGTCTAAAATAAACTTTTTTACGATGTATGGACTCGATAATATGTATCAGCATTTCGTGTGTATTTTAGTCTAGACGCCATTTGATTAACCATCGAGGTGACCTCCGAAGACCGTCGACGGTCATATAACCCGATATAAACATAAATATAGATATCAATAGATAGCGAACACGTGCAATTGTTTTTTTCTAGGTCTGTTTGATTTCCTATTATAGGTTTATATAAATAGGTATGAATTTGGGACTTAGAAGGTTACATGTTTTATGTGTTTACATGTTCAATGGAAACATAAAAAAAAACTTGTCCCTTGAACTCAATGCAATACATATTTTTTTTTATAATATGTTAGAATGCAATCAAATTGTAATTTTGATGCTTAATGTACAGTGAGATCGTAGTCATTTTCAAAGACGTGAAATCCTGCACTGATAGAGGCTCATGGTTGTTATTAGAATAAAGATAATATTAATAATAGGAAACCTTATTATCATTTTCATTCTTTTTTAAATTAATTATCTTTTAACAGTTATCCATCTATTTATGTTTTTACAATCTTTGAGGTACTAAGTTCCTTTGCAAGATAATTGCATTTGGTTCTTAATTATGGAGAAAAAAAAAATACATGGTATAACTTTTATTAATATCTCTTAGATTTTATAAATTGCAAAGCGATTGAGGCATATTTTGGTTACCCTTGCCTCGATGCAGCATTTTTCTTCTATCAGTACTATTTATTAACAGCAGAGGAAAAACAGGAAAAAATACATACCAAAATATTTAAGGATTAATTCTGATAATATCAGATACTTCTGCATTCAAATAATGCTATTCAATATAAAAGAAAGAATATGCGGTATCCATTCATGACACAACACCAGTACATGCACTGCACAAAACACAATCAAAGTTTATTTTTGCAAACGTATCCTGTCGCAATTTTTGCAATGATTAGAACATTGACATTTTTTTGAATTTACTATATTTTCAAAATGAAATCAACACTTTATGAATTTGAGCATGATAAAATATTTTACCTAGATTATTTCATGAATAAACTAGAGGCTCCAAAGGGTCTGTATTGGTCACCTGATATTTTTGCCCATAAAATATGATAAAATGCAACAAGATTTGTGTGTTACTTGGAAACTTGCAATCAAAATTTGTATTTGATGATCACTTTGGCTGGACCAAATTTCTGTATATCCATTACAGTTTTAAAGATGATAAACAAAAAAAACTTGGTTAACATTGGGATTTAGGGGTAACAAATCCTCTAATAAGGCGTTCGACAATTTCATTCCTATTAGATTCGTTTGTAGATCTTATGTTGCTGGTTAATTTCTTTATTTAAAATTTTACTCTATCTAATACTGTTTATAAGTTGTTATGTAAAACCCTAAATTCATCAAAAATCTTCATTTAAGGGTAAATACCCCTGTGACAAGTCAACTGATAATTTTGTTCACTTTCACTTATCTCTTCTTAAAATGCCTTTACCAAGTCAAGAACATGACCGTTGTTTTCTATTCATTCCGATGGTTGATATAGTCGACCGTTTGATTTTGTCAGGTTTTATTGACTTTTTTTAAAATTTACCTTGCAGTTCGGTATTTTTGCTGATAATTTTTGTCTACCGTTTCTCTCTATCCATCTACTCTTATTCCGTAAAAAAACGACTTTGGTAATGTCGACTTATTTTTTGATCGTGTTAAGCTGATCATATTAGCTGTGTTAAAAATCTCTCTATATCTATTATAGTTTTAAAACAACAAACAAATGGTAAAAATTGACATTCAAGGGCAATTACTCCTATAAAAAATAAACTGAAGATTACATTCATGTTGACTTATTTGTAGATCTTATTTTGATGATCATTTATGAAAAGAAACAGTTTCACTCTATCTTCTATAGTTTTGGAGAAAAATGCAAAAAAGGGTAAACATTGTCATACAATAGTCGGTTAACATTTTTTACTTTTTTTAAAGATTCTCCTTATCTGCTTAAATTTCTGCAATAAATGAAAAAATATCGGCAAAAATCATACATCAAGGGCAATAATTCCTATAAGGGGTCAACTGACTATTTCATTTGTTTGACTCTTTTTGGAAATCTTATTGAACTGGTCGTTTGTACCATTTAAAGTCTCTCTCTCTATAATTACTACCAAAAAGCTGTCAAATTGACAGCAAACCGTGTTTTTTTTAACATTATTCTTGTCAATGTTACAACAAAGAAAGATCATAACCCCTGAACAGCAACAGTGAAACATTCAATATCGAAATTGACCTCAATTTTGTCATCATTAAATAAGAGGCGGAAGATACCAAGGGGACATTCAGAATTCATAAGTCGAGATGAACTGATAACGCCATGGCAAAAAAAAAACAACAACAACGAAAGACGACGAAAATACAGACAGGTCCACAAAACACTACACAGAAAACTAGACTGAGGAACACAAACCCTATAAAAACCGCGGGTGATCTCCGGTGCTCTGGAAAGGTAACACGCAATAAAAATTTACAGAGTATTGGTTGAACTTTCTCAATTTCTTGGACAGAAACGACTAAAAATGGCATTATCCAATCAATCGAGAACCATTACCCCTGAACAGCAGTAGTGAAAATCGTCAATATTGTCCTGCAGATCGGTGACAAAATTGTGGGTTTGATGATAAAAGCACCAAATGTGGCATGGTAGTAGTTCTTGGTGTTTCAAACAATATAAGCTATGGACCCACATTGAAATTTTAAAATGGCGGCCTTTTTCCAAGATGGCCGCCATAAAATATTAAAATCAACATATATCACTTATATAAGGTCAAATTTAAAGTCAAATTTGGTATGGTAGTAGTGCTGGGTGTTTAAAAAAAAAACGTTAGCTATGAACCCACCTTGAAAAATTAATAAGGCGGCTTTTTCCAAGATGGCCGCCACAAAATATCAAAATCAACAAATATACCTTATATTGGTTCAAATTTGTCATGTTTGTAGTTCTGGGTGCTTCGAACAATATAATCTATGGACCCAACTTGAAATTTTAAAATGGCGGCTTTTTCCAAGATGGCCGCCATGAGATATCAAAATCAACAAAATTCCCTTAAAAAAAGTTACAATTTGTTTTGTTTTCATTAAAACCTAGTTCCCTATAATACCAAGTGTATGCCACATTTATATGCTAAGGCAAAACATCAAAAAAATTGTGAAGAAAGTATAGAAAATCGTTACTACGGTACCATTCTTGCAGAACAGTCGTCTACAACGAGGGATCACGTATAGACACTGGCGTTATTCCAATATTTAAGCTAGACTTAACTAGAGTGTACACTTCTGCACTCGAACAGTTTTCTCTATGATCAACTGGAAGAGGACATAGTAATGATCTAAAAATTGCAGTAATCTCAAGTTTGCCAGGCCATTAACAAGGCAGGTAATTGCTTCTTCTGTTTAGCGATTAGCTTGGTGTTGCAATTAAACAAGCAACCACAACAATCTGATTGTATGACAACGATACTTGAAAAAGCTGTACATGAAAGTAGATCAAAAAGACATGATGTAGGCAAAAGTCTTTTCAACAGTCATTAAAAACATTATTAGATAATTTTCAGATGCAGTCGAGTTATTCCATTGAGGCACGTACGACGCTATCCATTTCAAAGTTACTTCTGTTTTATTTATCTATTCTTCCTTAACATTACACTCAGCTGAAGAAAGACCATTTCATAATGTATATAGGCCTTCTACTGGATGCTAGGACCATGAAAGGAGGTACTAAATGACAAAATGTACAATTTACTTTGGCGTTTATGAATGATCCAATTATCCATTTATCTACAGTATTCCACTTATGAAACATTCAACATTGACTATGTGGTTCCTCCCGCGAAACCTGCAAACTTTACAACAGCAGCCGTGGACAATATTGAAAATAACAAGAGTTCAAATACGACTAAACAATCGTTACATAGTACGACAATTTCAATATTTCAGCCTTTTCCTTAGTCTAACTTGGCAAATTCGTCATAACCTTTTGCTTAGAAATATATGCATTTCACTTGTAATCTCTGGTACTTTAACCAATATATCATGCACAAGCACAACTGTTCATATTATTGCTATAACTTAGTATATATTTTACTATATAATAAGATATATCATTAATACTAACTAAATATAACCATGCGTTTCATACTTACATCTAATAATAAACGTGTTATGGACATGGCACTATGTGAATTGTCTAACCAGAAATACATGTATGCCATCCTGGTTTAATTAGTCAAATTTATACATGGTTGTGAAATTTGAACTGATTAGCAGACATCTTGAAAATGGCCGCCATATTGGATTTTTCAGAGTGGGTTCATAGCTAAAATTGACTAACAAATATATATCTACAACTGTGCAAAGTTTCATGCTTTTATCATCAAACCCACAATTCTTCTAAAAATATGCACGAATCAGCTGGACTAATATAAAACTTTACCTCGATTTTCGTCTTTAGTAACAAAATATTACAATTGGAAAAATTTTCGTTCAGCAATTCGTATGCTAGTGTATTGAAAGGACAAACAGTGCAATTTCCATTCAATAATGGACCATAACTCCTGAACAACAACAGTGAGAACTGTCAATATCGAATCGACCTCAACTTTGTCAACAACTTAATAAAATTTGAAAAGCATTGATTTTTTATTTGGAAACACAACTGAGCCCGTCCGCCCAACCGAACGACCACGAATCAATAATTCGGCTGAAAGCTACGATTTGCAAATTGATATGTAAGGGAAAAATCTGTCGTACAATATTTCTGGAAAATTACATATCAGATTGGTATTGACCTGTTAATTATTTTTACGCAATGTCAGTTTGCACTAACTACTTTAGTTTTTTTAAGGTATAATTTAAAACCTACAGTTCTATTTATTGTATCAGCGACTATGGTTGTTGACGGACCAAATCCCTGCATATAAATTTTTAACTATATTACTTAACGAACATTCAGATTAAGTTTGGTAACATGTTGCTAAGCAATTTCACAGATTTTTTTTTTAAAGTAACGATCGACGAAGGACGACGCACCGCGACGACGGACACCAAGTGATGGTAATAGTTTACACGTCCGTTTGGGATATGTGAAATTATATCAAATACACTATTTAAAGTAAAAAAGGGTTGATTTATTTGTTTTTAATCATTTTTACTCAGTCATAGAAAATTGAACCTCCTTCCATGAAAAACATAATCCCCCTATAGACCTCATATTATCACATTGTCATAGCTATTCCAGCTATGTTATATAGTAACAAGAAATGATTGTAACAGGATGCTGTTACGAAGTCTCCCAAACGAAGCTCCCATAATTCGTCATTCTTATGGTCGCCTGACATTGAGCAAAGTCCAGAACAAATTGGTTTGGTCCAGTAAAGGAACTAACTCTGTTAATCATTCAAATCATCTTGGCATGACAAACCAGAATAAATATATTTTGGGGTGGGGATCTTGACCACTTACAAGATATTAGAACTTTATCAAATGGCAGGGGGTCGGGTAGACCCCTGGGGACTAACCCTATTTATCATTCAAATCTTCTCGGCATGACAAACCAGAATATATATGGTTAAGGGGTGGGGATCTTGACCACTTACAAGATATTAGAACTTTCTCAAACGGCAGGGGGTCGGGACGACCCCTGGGGACTAACCCTGTTTATCATTCAAATCTTCTCGGCATGACAAACCAGAATATATATGGTTTAGGGGTGGCGATCTTGACCACTTACAAGATATTAGAACTTTCTCAAATGGCAGGGGGTCGGGACGACCCCTGGGGATTAACCCTGTTTATCATTCAAATCATCTCGGCATGACAAACCAGAATGTATATGGTTTAGGGGTGGGGATCTTGACCACTTCCAAGATATTAAAACTTTCTCTAATGGCAGGGGGTGGGGGTAACCCCTGGGGACTAAGCTTTTATTTTATTTAATGTGCTTTATCATTTAAAACATTTTCAATTATAAATATTGTGTCTATCACTAACCGTTTTTAAGTTATAATCATTTGAAAATTAAAAAAAATAAAATCCCATAGGGTTCTATAGTAAACCCCTCCTTCCTTTATGCCCCTCAAAGTACCCCTTTATAAACCCCATTGCACAAACAAATCCCTAATTGCACCACTAGACATGTTAGTCTAACATATTGTGAAACCCTAAGTTAATCTGACAGGTTTTTGAGAACGGGTGCGGACAAGTTCGGCGGAAGAAGAAGAAGAAGAAGAATAATAAAAATAATAAGAACTGAGCAAAAACAATAAGTCTTCCCAAACTTCGTTTGGGAGACTTAATAATGCTTTAATAAGTACTTGGTAGGAAAAAAACATATTACAAAATATTTATGAACATTTTTACTCAACCATGGAATACTCAACTCCCCCTATAGATTAAGATTTCCAAATTGTCATAGTTATTCCAGCTATGTTATATAGTAATAATGCATTAATAAGTACATGGTAGGAATAAAACATCTTAGAAGTTCGTTTTAAACATTTTTTATTAGCCATGGAAAATTAAACTCCCCCGATAGACCTCAGATTTTCAAATTGTCATAACTATTCCACTAATTTATATAGTAATAATACTTTAATAAGTATTTGGTAGGGAAAATTGAAACCCATCCTATAGACCTCAGATTTTCAAATTGTCATAGCTATTCAAACTACTTTATATAGTAATAATGCATTGATAAGTACTTGGTAGGAAAAAACATGTTAGAAAATATGTTAAACATTTTTACTCACCCCTGAAAAATTGATTCCCCCTACAGACCACATATTTTCAAAGTATCATAGCTATTCCACCTATGTTATATAGTAATAAGGCATTAATAAGTACTTGGTAGGGATAAAACATGTTAGAAAATAATGACAGACAACGGACGATAAGATATGTTGTCTTCCGATATGGTGTGGCTGGGAACCAGTAAGGGCTTGTGTGATCAAATCTAAATATTTCATAAAATGTTAGTTACATACCTTCGATGTCCTTTCATAAACATCACAACCCTCAACATCTCTACTGAGACCAAAGTCACAGATTTTACATGTAAAATTTGGAGTAATCAAGATATTCCTCGCTGACAAGTCACGATGAATAATCTGTAACAAAGATTTTACATAATCATTAGATTGTCCTCGGTCACGCAATAAATGGAACAAATTGTACAAATATGTAGTTAAATCAGCATAACGGTTATTCTCTAGTATCTATTAGTCTTTGATAGATAAGTGAAAATGTTAACACCATTCCTATATTTCCGTTTAAGAGCTAGATTATCTAGCAATATTGTAAACGTCAAAAGAAAAAAGAGAGAGAAGATGCCAATGAGGCAATCCAAAACTGTATGTTGAATACAAACAGACAACTCCATAGCTGAATAAACAGCTGCGCCATGAGCGCACGATACGCCCGTCGCTTATCAAAAAATAAAGTTCAATAACTCTCCAATGTCATATCAGAAATTTATAAAAAAACTAAAGGAAGGTTGTTTTAATAGATATAAACCAGTCACCAAAGTTTCATGAAAACTGCTCAAAGCACTTTTGAGTTATTGTCCGAAACCTGGAAAATCACTCCTTTTTTATGAATAAAATCCCATAACTCGGAAACGTAAAATCTAAAATTTATAAAAAATCGAAAGGGAGCTTACGTCAATAGATATAAAAAATTCACCAAAGTTTCATGAAAACTGCTCAAAGCGTTTTTGAGTTATTGTCCGAAGACTGGAAAATCCCCCTTTTTTAATGAAAAAAAAAAAACATAACTCGGAAACGTAAAATCTAAAATTCATAAAAAATCGAAAGAGAGCTCACATCAATAGATATAAACAATTCACCAAAGTTTCTTGCAAATTGGTAAAAGTGTTTTTGAGTTATGGTCCGAAAACTGAAAAATCACCCCTTTTTGTAACGAATAAAACACCATAACTCGGAAACGCAAAATCTAAAATTTATAAAAATCGAAAGGGAACTCACATCAATAGATATAAACAATTCACCAAAGTTTCATGCAAATTGGATTAAGCGTTTTTGAGTTATTGTCCGACATGTTGACGACGGACGGACGGACAGACGGACGAACAGACGGACGGACGGACGGACGGACGGACAGCCGGACGGTATACCATAATACGTCCCGTAAACGGGCGTAAAAAAAACAAACAGCGAAAATACAAGTCCATAAAACAATAAACATAAAACTAAAGACTGAGCAAAAAGCCCAAAACCATAGCTAAACTCTCGACGTTGTAGTACTGTTAAAATACATTGATATGTGGTGATTGTGCAAAATATAACAGAATACTGACGAATCTGTTATCGAATACGAAGACATCACCAGATTCATAAACCATCAGCACAAGTAAATTCACTAATTCCACCCTTGACCGAATGTGAAAGTTTAAACGGTTTTCAAGACAAAGGATAGACATTACTTTTTGCGGCAGGAACGACAAGGATTTTTAAGAATAAAAGAGGACAAAATACAAAACTTATAACTAAAACAAAAGCAACATGAACCCCTTTAAATCAAAATAAGAGTTGCTGGGGAATGTAATGAAAGTAAAAGTAAGGTGATTAGTCGCATACGGTGATGTATACGTAACAATCGTGAAAAAGTGGACGGGATTGTGGCTACGATAATAAGAACATATCAGTGACACAGATATTCTAAATCGTTTTACAAAATCACGATGACGTCTGTAAACCTTTCGAAGCAATGACTTCAATTTAACTATTAGGAACACTATTCAATACATACATAATATTTTAGTCGTACTGGTTTCTCAACAAAAACGGAGAACAGAATCAAACAAAATCGGTTCAAAACCGACTAGAACATGATATTTACGTGATTACGCGACACTTTAAAATAAAACGGAACGAACAAAAATCTGTTAAAACAAAGTAGATTTTCGTTTAAAATTAATATCAATACTTATTAATTAATTTAGCTGCGAACGTTTTTTGTTATAAGAACTGAAAATGTATTGAGTACAAATATATCCATAGCAATAGTCTGAGTTTGAGTAATCCATAAGAAATTTGTTTTTATCTGTTTTCTCAATTTAAGGTCACATATATTTTAGGGAAGTTGTCAAAAATGACATCAGATCATCCATTTTTCAAAGAAAGAACATGGGGTAAATTGAACAATTACGTCAAGTTCAAAAAGGGAATTACGTCTTTGAAAGAAGCTTTGATGCTTAAAAAGGAATCCCAAAATACAAATTTTAAATACAACTACTTTGTACGGTTTTCAGATACTCTAAAGGAAAGGAATATGATATTCATTGTTGTAACTTATTATTCTAAAAAAGAAAGTTACTTGCGTTTATCGGACATATTGCATCACATTGGTGACGCCTGTGCCTCGACTCGAATCGGCATGCCATTTTGATTCGTGTGCAACAATGCCTTTCAATCAAGTTCTGCGCCGGTCTTAAAACAGCATCACTGGCACACCGGCGAAGGAAAATCAAGTACTAGCATTGTAAGCAACAACCTTTTATCATATATATCGAAATTGAATCCAGTTTGCGTTCAAGTGTGGTTCTGTAATGCGTAATTGTTGTTCTTGATTAATATATATAAATGAATTAACGTGATTATCTGGCGCAAAAATAGTAAACGGAAAGCATGTGCACTGACATGTTCTGGATTAGAAAATGCATTTGCGTTCCCACGTATATTTGTTCTGGACTCAAATCCGACGTTAGTTGAAATAAAATGTCAAACTACATAATTCAAGTGGTTTGACTTCAGATTCAAAAATATTCATTTAATCCAATTTATATGTGAACGCAAACCGTTAAATGTGTAATAAAAATTTTTAAATCCGATTGTGTTTTGTCATGTGAATGGAGAAGTGAATAAAGTTCAACCCATACCCTCCTTTGTTCTAGTATTTCATTCAGGAATTTACAGTCAAAATGTTGAAAACAAATTTGTAGATATGTTTATAAGGAATTGAACTTTTCATAAAGTTTTTATTTGCTTTTAATATAAACAGACCAGGGTAGCAATAGCAATATTACAATGATTATTAAATCATTAAAACAGTTGTCTGTTAGATCGGGGTATTTTCCGATTAAGTTGTAAATTACACATTAAAGGCGTCACATCTGATTGATTGGTTGATTTGTGGTTGCTATACGCCGCCTCAGAGTTTGATTTGCTTCGGTCACTATTTGTTATTGTGTGAACTCCTGAGGGTTCACGCATAAATATTGGTTGCTCTTATAGTCTTCCGGAATACCGGAAATGCATACTGTCTTTTCGGAATACATCTATTCTTTTCTATGGCCACCTGCGTTATAGGTAATTGATCTAACGAATATGTATTGGCGTCTTACAGTTGCTATAGAGATAAGTGTTAATCGAGACTTATTGATATCCTACATCAGTAGTTAATTAAATCAGAGTCGCATATGTTAAGTTTTCTGAAATACAAGCTTTTCACATTGGAGATTAGATTTTAAGCGAAAAAGTGACCATCAATGAATATGGCGTTTTAAAGATTTTAAAACTGAGCCGTTTTAGCGAAATTAAAAAAGTTCAAGCAGCAATCAAAATTATAGTCTAGATGCCATATCTTAAATGTATTTCCCTAAGTTTGTGATATCCACTGAACTCTTCATATTGGTAGACTTCATCAAGTGTATTATGTTGTATTTCCAGTACCTTATGTCGGCCATCATTAATTTGGCGGCCATATTGGAATTTTTTTTTGTGGCTTCATATCTGAAATTTGTTTATACACCTTAATCTTTCACTATGCCATGTTTCATGCTTTTTCTATAAAGTGATCAATTATTCTTATATCCGCTGGACTATCATTCTTTGAAAATGTCTTTAAACCAATTTAGAATGAGGATTACCAGTGTGAAGGGTAAAGAGTAAAACATCTTGATACTATTTCACGAGGATAGTGTACTCTAACAGATCTTTTAATTTATTTTAGTATGCATATCTGTTTCTCAACCCCCTTAAAAAGTTTTTTCACAGTAACTCTAAAACTCGGGTTTATTTTGGTGATGATAAGACGTTAATAGTTCGGAAAGAGGTTTCGTGGAGCCGTTTTCGGACCTTGCAGTATAACGTTGGTTGTCCGGATTCTTGTGTAAATAAGGCACCCAGTAGAACGCAGCAAGACCAAGTTCTTTGTCTTTGTTTGAACTTCTAGAGAATCTAAGACATACCTTTAAATGTAGGGGATTTTCTCTTTAGAAAGTGTCCTGGAAATATGTTTGGTTTCGAAGTTCCTTTATCAAGCAGTTAATATAGTTTTATTAACAAACAAAAACGATCTTGGATGGGGCATTGTCTGCCGAGACAACAATCTTTTTTGCCATGGAGCTAGAGTAAGTGCTTAGCCACATTGGGTTCTTCGGCGAAATGTGTAGCACGGCTGTCCTTTTATTTCGATTTGTATTAATGGCATCACAAGCTATAACCATTCGGAAAAAAATATCTGCTTCTTCTTTTTCACGTTTATCCCATTGTATGATATAACGGTAACTAGTAAACAAAATCAGGGCGTTTCAGAGAAGATTCCTGTTGCACACCAAAAACAGGGCGTTTCAGATGAGATCCCTGTTGCACACCAATCAACACCCGTGATTCAAATTTCGATGGCTACGGAAATTAACGACCATTATATCAACCCGACATCGGAGATAACAATATTTCTCCCACGCAAGGAACTGCTGTTTTCCCGGTTAACAAACCTTAACGACAGGGCTGAATCCTTTCACACATGGTACTCCAGTTTCAAGAAAGTCACAGACTCGGAACAGATACACCTACTGGTCAAGTGGCTTGGACCAGAGTCTGCCAGACATGCCATTAGCACTATCACAAGTTCTCCTCTAACTATGCGGATGTTATGTCTGCATTTCCTACCAGCGATTTTGCTTAAAACCTTAAGGATCTAGGCCAACAAAAAACTGCAACGTAGTCTTAGACTCAGCTGGAACGTGAACACTGCCAACTTCCTATTTCAGTTGGCGTCAGAAAATAAACCGATCACACGGAGAGAAATTTTATCAACAATAAACAGCATCTACGATCCTCTTGGATTTTTAGCTCCGGTGATTATA